AAGAAGTTTCTCCGACATCGTAGTCGGTAACGTCAAAATCGACTTCACTTGTCTCTGACGTGTTGTAGTGCGGTGCTAAGGCTCGCAATGCTCACCGACAATGTCGGCGAAACGTCTAGGAATGTACCACGTCCATGGTTCGACTTTGGAAATTATCATGCATACAATGGACTCCGGACTAGGTGCGTTCATCTAAATCTTCATACCAATATGACCAAGTTGCGAAAACAAGGTCAAACAACTTGTATTTATTTTTATTTTAATTCAGATTTCTTACTTTAACGATAATAGACATTCAGGTTGCCCTTGTGTGAAAATTTCTCCTAGAAACTAGCACAATAACCAGGCTACTACGATTTTTATCTAAAATGTTGAATATAAAACCGAACCAGAAAAATCGGTGTTTTGGCAACGTATTGCTATATACGAACCAGTAAAGATAAACTGCTTCAAAAACCCACCTGCCAGTTTGTCAGCGGGTCATCGAAAGATAAAAGTTCAATAAACTGGCGTGTCAGTCGAAATGGCCAAGTACAAGACTCCCGGGGAGACACTTCGGGAGATAAGAAATTGCAAGTATTTTTAGCTGACCAATTGTTGAACGGTAGCCTAAGAACGAAGGCGCCCGAGAGCGAATTGGCTAGCTCGGCACGATAGTTTACCCACCGCTCAAGCTCCTCTTCGGATAATGCAGGAACGGTTGGGATCCAAGTTTCAGGTTTGTCTGAGGTGCAAACTGGTCGGCGACGCATACACAGCGAATCTATCAGCTTATCATGTAAATAGGCCTGAGAGCAAAAAAGTGTATTTGGTAGTGAATCGGAGATAGAATATACAGGTCTGAAAACAAAAGGATAAAGAATACAATTCTTTCACAAGGTTTATTATATAGAACATCTTTGTAGATTAGTCGGTGACGCTGTCTTAAACTTTCACAACTAATCTGGCCATCCAGAATTCTCTTTAGTCAACATGAAAAAACTCTTCTTATTTAGGAAAATAATATGTAAACAAAAAGTAAAGGACGTAGATATGAAGATTAAGATGTTGCAGTCTTCTGTTTGGTCGCAGCCTCCTTTAGCTTTAAAGTGTTGATTACACCTCGTTTTCGCAACTTGGTCGGAGCATCAGGGAGACCTTGTGGAACGTATCTAGTCCTGTGTCGTCTGCCATAAAAATCGTGATTTACAGCATCGGACCATTGACTTAGTACATTCCCAAACGTTTCGCCGGCATCGTAAATAGGAGGCGATATCGTTAACGCATAGTCACTACTTATCAGTGAAAAATAAAGGCAATGCCATTGACCATTTGGAGGAAGGGATGCAGCACTAGAAGGTAGAACAAAAAATAGGGGCGAGGAGTGAGGCCACAACGGTTGAGCAGAAAATCGGTGAATGAGATTACCCTAAATTGCCACCTTGATACGTAGTAACTCTGTGCTAACGATGGCGCCTCTCACTGACAATGCTGATTACGATGCCGGCGAAACATTTGGTCCGATACTGGAAATCACGAATACTATGGCAGAGGACACAGGATAAGGTAAGTTCCACAAGGTCTCCTTGATACACCGACCAAGTTGTGAAAACGAGGTCGAACCAACAGTAAAAAGTAAAGAAATTTGTCTTAAGAAGTCGCTTATTTCAAAGTGTGCCAGCTTCAAGCAGTTTTACTAAATCCCTTGCGAATATGCTTAGGTCACATCGAACTATGTATATGTGAACTGCAAATTAAAAACAATTCCTACTAAGTTACATGATACACATAACGCCCCAGTCAGCTTGTTTATTTCGAGGTCTGTCTTGACCATCTGTTTAGCGATGAATGTTTACATAATCAATGCCAGATTAAGTGCCAAAAGGATCCCAAGTCCGATATTAATAAAATGTTCTAAAAAATTGAAACACCTAAGCGTTCTGTTAGTTCTTATATTCCTATTGGTTGGTTAAAAATTTCCCCAAATATAAGGACGAATCCACCGTGATCAGGGGTCGGAGACTTTAAAAGAGTTGCACACACAACGTACATCCACATTTTAGCAAATGGAGAGAGGCAAAGCTAGTTCCATGGAAATGGCCTAAAGTACAGACATGAAATGAAATTATGTATTTTAGACTATTTTTTCTAGAAAATAATGCTACCGTTCAAAGTACTTTCAAACACTTTCTTTTCCCATACAATCAAAGGCTCTGTCTGAACACACGACATGTAGAACATTTTACTATAGCACTTGCCGATCAGATTTTCTATTACATCAAGCAAACTCACTAAAGCGAATTTTCAAGTCCGCAAAGTTAATAAGGAAATATACACTTATTCATCCGATACTCTATGTTATGAGAGACCCTGGTACAGTTTGGTGATGACAAGAAATTAACGAAATTACGTATTCGGATGAAAATTTCTATGAAGAAGAAAATTTAAATTAAAGTTAATCAATCTAAATGGAAATGGGGCCACAATGAAGTTTCGCTACATTGCATAGTAATAGTTAAAATGTATTTTTATAATTATTTTATTAAGATATTTTCTGCCGCAAGCTTAGGAGCCTTATTGTCTGATGCGGATACCTAAAATAGTGGTGATTCAAAACTATATCTTTATCTCAATTTAGTAACTTCTTTATTGTATGTATTCGACGAAACCTAAAAAATCTCTGCTCATTCCTCAATTACGAGCCTTTTTATGTGATCCTAAATTTTCAATTCAACGAAGCCTTGATAATTATTTTAATTTCATAGTGTGACTCTTTATATTAGTCCCACGCAAATAATTCTTTACTCATAAATTAGCTAGTATCAAACGTGTAAAGGAATAGCTAAAAAGCTTCAGAAATAGATTAAATGTGGCTAATTATGTTTTCACGGGCAGCATTTAGTGTACAGCCTTTTTAAAAGGTGTCTAGCATACAACCATATAAGTATTATCCATAATTGCAAATATAAATAAGCAGATACCTGCACACAGAAACAAATAAACAGGTTGAGCGCTCTGCCACAAAAAAACATTTAAACAAGCAGAGGAACAGCTAGAAAAAAAAACAAAAAGCCCTGGCGTAACCGAACTTTTAAATGGGTTCATTGAAAAAAGAAGTTGTTAGTCGCAAGACGGTGGGCCAAGGACCCTAAGGCAATCCTCCTTAGTTTTTCAATGAGACCAATTCACGGATTCCTACCAAACACCTTTACCTTCGAAATGAAAAGTCGAGTTACTAAGGCACACTTAGGAACCTAGCATTTCTTCATAAACTAAACCATTACCATCTGCAAGTCAGGTACAACGCCTGTTTCAATATTGCTGCAATGCGTGACGTTTGGGTTATTTTTAATCTAATATGGGAGCATGGAAGTTCTACCGAGGCAATGATAGGCCTAGATCGTGCGTGTGGACATAGACGCCAAGATAAACCGAATTGCTAGCAATTTACCTTTCGCAATGGGCTAGAATGCAATACTCTGCGAAAGTTTACAAAACGAATCCCTTCTGTGAATTCCTAAATAATCAACATAGGATGAACATGTATATGTGCATAAACAAGTGAGCTTGAGCGGACGGTTGGGTTAAATAATGTACCTTGCGAAGAATGGTTTCTAAACTAGACAGGTGCAGATCATCGATAAATTGAAGGGCCAGTCGTGAAGCTGGGTTTGAGACAAAATCATCGGATGGAAGTATAGAAGAAAATAACCTATCATGGAGACTGGTCAGACGCTCCTGCAGCGGCATCCAGGCTTGAAGTGCAAGATCGGATACGGTTTCATCGTAAGGATATTGACCAGGATGATCAAGACAGGCGACCAAAAGGCGAAGAAATTGGCCAGCAGGAGTCGCCGAGATACGGGTTGCAGCATCGAGAGAGTCAGATGAACCATTGGAGAAAAGAGTGTGAGAAGCTTGAAAGATGCAGGCAAATATGCTGGACATCTAATAGAGAAAAATAGGAGAAAACTATGTTTTTAGTATGTTATGACTAAACATAGGTTTGAAATATTCCGATTTTGAGCGTTGGCCGGAGTATGCAGGAGAAAATTTAGCTTTAATAATTTATTTATTATGTCCTGAGTAATTCAATTTTGTATAGACTAGACAAGGATAAATCAAAAGCATAATGAATTGTTCATCAAGTACAAATTTTTGCGTAACAGTGTCCACACATTCAATTTATGCTATTATAAGATTATGTACTTCCTTAGTTGATTGGATAGGAATAGATAAAAAGCTTCAGAAATAGATTAAATGTGGCTAATTATGCTTTCACTAGCAGCAGTTAGTGTAAAGCCTTCTTAAAAGGTGCTTAGCATACAGCCATAGAAATATTATCTAGTATTAATCTTCGATGTCTAGGCTTTGCGACGATCATTAGTTGGCTAGTGTAAAACAAGGCTTATTGCGAACCAGAAAATAGCCCCAAAGTCACAATTTCTTTTTTTTTACGGTTTAAATGATAGCATAATTAGCTAACTGATGTTTCTTTAAAAATACTGCAAATGAATAAGAAGCATGACAAATAACAAAACCCGTCACATTTTGAAAAATTGGCAAATGGCAAGCTTGAAGGACGTATGTATAAAGAATTCTAGTAATTTTTGAATAAATCAGTTTTCATTCATTTCCGGGAGAGGCTAATTCAAGAATCCCTTCCAACCGGCTTTTACTTCAAAATTAAAATTCAACTAGCGGTAATTTATTGAAGGACACATTGAAAACCGGCCTTTTCTCATACATGAAAACCAAATGGTGTGACAAAGGATGTTTTCTGCTGACCCTCTATTCAGAACATTGGACTCGCCTGATTTTCAGCAATACTGGCCACTAACTGCAAGGTTGCCTCGATATCCACGTTGGTTACTTCGTTCCAAACTGCCTCGCAGCCAACATTGTTATTATTGCCTGTGGTGTCAGCAGTAATCGAGGCCGTTATCGGCTCAGAATCCCGCTGCAAGAAGCGTTCGAGACGAGGCAAAATCAGCGCTACCAGTCTGACCAAATGGGGTTCGAGAAGTCGACCTGAGTATGTCCAGTTCAACCAATCACTGGAAGCGACGGGCTCATATCTTATTTCGGCATTAGAGGAAGGGGTGCGTATGTATGTGTATGAGTAAAAGCGTTTGAGAATATGTAGAAATTGGAAAACACTATTAGCATATGTGAAATGTACTAACCCTATTTTGTTAAGGTGATAAAGGATTGGTAGTCAGATTTTCATACAAGCACATAAGTGGGTCTTACATTTACATTGAATTCCACACAGCCATGCTTCTCAAAAGGTATTCTTTTCTAGGCTGAACTGCAGTAACGGCTTCGCCTAGGTCTCATCATCACCCCTAGCGGGACTTAAACCGTGACCACTATGAAACACTGCCATGAGAGCATTTAGATCACAAAGTAGGTGTGAAGTTTAAGTAAGGCCAGGCATTTATCCATATCACATTCTGTGATGGGATTATCGATGAAGCAAAGTTGTAAAATATAAGTAATCTAGTCGATTACTATAGCAAATATAAATTTGCTTCATCGACAATCCCACCACAGCTTGTGATATAGTAAAATAGCTGGCTTGAAATTTCCATCTGCCTTGTGGTCGAACCGCGTAATGGTTAACGTGTTAAGATTATACGCTACACTATCACCAGACCCAGGTAGGGTCGAAACTGCAACCCAGCCTGGATGAGATATAGCTTTTGGTAAGCAAAGTTACGTAAAGTTGAATGGAAACGTAAGGTCTACTTATTTCATTGTGGGAAAACTCAACTACAAGTTATTTATCACTTTAACGAAATAGAGTGAATAAAATTCATATATATGGTCTACTGGTAGTATCAAAAATTTACTTATCATAACAAAATAGGTATTGGGATAGTCTTGTATTTTAATTTATTTCCAACAACTAAATTGTAGTTGAGTAAATCTCGTAAATTTTTAAATATTGATGACATTTACTGATTCAGGATAAATTAATCAGTAGTGATGGTTATAGAAAAAAAGGAATTATCAGCATTTATTTACCCGATAAGATAAGCCTTAATGTTTCTTATATAATGGATTATACTAAAATCAACTCATAAGGTAACGTGGTTTAATGACTACACTGAATTCACCTTGGAATTTACAACATGTCTAGTTCAATTAGAAGTTAGTTATACTGAAGGTACTCCACTAAACACGGGGCAAAATTTTATAAGCTTGATTTAGCTTAAGGACTAGCAGCTTGGTCCTGTTGCCATGGTGATCAAGTAAGAAGTAACTTGACCGAAGTCCTTTTCTAAATTAGTTATGATAGGTCCCAGCGTTGGACAGTGGACTTGCTATACTCCCAGACGCTTCTTTAGCATATTCAATGAGACGTACCCCTCTTAGCACCAAGCAACAACTCGCCAAAGAGCCAAATGAGGTCAATCCCTTGACCAACTTTCTGCCTAAAAGTTGTGCTATCACTCCTGTCCTGATAGATCTACCTACTTCATAACCTCATATCTCACTCTATCCTTACCACGACTTGTTTATATTCTCCTACTCTAGAGGAGAGTTTATTGGGGCGTTATTCCACCTGCGTGTTTGCCTTGCCCCCCTCCCTCTCGATTTACTGGAAATGCTGATCTCTCTCGGACCTCCTATTCAAATCTCCCTCATGGCACCGGAGATTTGTTTCTCATCTTACTTTTTGGCTATACTAATTTGGTTCCAGTCACCGTATACGCTTTACTCAAGGCACTACTTCTCATTTTGATTTGAAATTCTAAAGAGAAACGATTCCTCCTACTTATCAAAAATAAAGAGAATTAAAAATGGTCTCTATTTTTAATATGAAAATTCCTATGAAACTCAAAAATGTGATTCCTCGACACTGTACACTTATGCTTATGTAAAAACTACCAAAATGAGGCTGTTTTGATAAGTTTCGTTGATGGCCGAGAGTCTGTTAAAAAAATTAGCAAAGGGAGACAGTGAATGTGAAAAGATTAAATTGCCTAGTTGGAATTCATATGACGAATATTTCCTCAAAACCTGTCTGATTGCAGCCGGCAACCATTTCCCTTGGTCTAGTATATTTTTGCTCTATTTCGTAAAGTATGAATTCTTGATCTGATGATGTCTGTTACAGAACAAACGAAAGCTTAGCATTTTCATTGAAGTCGCAGGACTATGAGCTGAGGACTTTCTCGCACAATTCAACACCCTTCCCCACGCGGTAATCCTCCTTCGGTTTCCGCTGAGACCACAAATTCCTATCTACCAACTCTTCCTTAGAAATGGAGAGTCATATCACAATGATTTAAATTTATTATCAAAGAAGAGCGACGAGAACACGTGGCAGTGCATATTGGTCTGATAAAGTTATAAAACCAGCCGTAGGCACAAATAGCTCCGAAGGTATTATGTCACGATTAAAAAACTCAATGAGAGGCTTAGATCCAATAAAATAGTACATCGCAAAGTTCTGAGGGTAAATTCTAGACTTTGCTATACTCAGGAAGCATACTGATCAGGGATATATCGGAACATAATGATAGATAAAATAACCAGGCTTGCTGTTTAGTTACAGATTAAGACATATACTATTTTAGACTCAAAAATTCTATAAAAAGATGCCTAACAGTAATTCTGCCATAAAACGGAGCCGGATGTAGAGCCATATTGATAAGATACGATGAGCGCCCGATAAAATTGTTAAATTAGCTAGCTTTAATCCAAAAGGCACAATGCTGTTTACAATAACATGGATGAAAAGTAAATTAACGCTAATATGAATTATTTAATGTGGCACGATTATATGCAGATAAAAATAAGCATTCATGTTCTCTAAGCAAGGATGAATAATCTGGCTAAATATCGAGATAGTTTATACAAATAAATTTTACATATCTTAATTTAGCGTCTAGAGAAAGAGAGATATGTTTAAAAAAGACTCTGGTTAAAAATTTATCCATTAGGATTAATTTTCAATAATTTCACAATACTAAGAAATAAAATAAGAGACAACATTGATTTGGGGCCAAGCACTTAGTGACAACTATTTATCCGGATTCTTGGTCAAAGGAACGAAGGTAGCTAAACATATTGCAAATAGAGGTGCAAGATAATATGGTTCAAAACCTATGGTGTTGCATAAAATGGAGACTTGATTATGGAATCAAAATAAGTTACTAGAACAAATAATATCCTGAAGAGAAGGCAGGGATGTAGTAAATTAACCATTAACTTCCTTTGGCTATTAGACAAAACTACGGAGAAAGAGAATGAGAAAGACAAGCTATAAAATAAGAATAGACTTGAATAACCCGGAGTCTGGAATGGGCTCTTACGTGCTAAACTACCGGTGGGTATAGTATAGACACAGATTAAGCATTCACAAACCTTAAATACGCGTCAAAATTAAAAAAACCAACACTAGTTTATTGATTCAGGTAGCCAAATAAGCATAATTATATGAATAAGAGTCCAGCCGACCACAAACTATCGCCTAGAATTTTGGGTAATTGCTCTGGCAACTGATAGTTCCTGTTTCTGATGATGCCTGACACATGACAAACGAAAGCTCAGCATGGATTCATCGGCGCCATTGAATTATGAATGATAAATCTTCTTCACACAATCGAGCGGTCATAACTCCATAGCAATTCGACTTAAGTTTTTAAATATTCCGGAAGTTGTTTGACCTTTTACGCAACTCGGTCATATTAGCAGGAAGACCTTGAGGAATGCATCTTGTCCGGAGTCTATAGCATGCATGATAATTTCCAGTCGGGCCGTGGACTTGGTACATTCTCAGACATTTCGCCGGCATCATCAATGAGCCTTGCCACTCTTAACACCACAACTTGTCAAAGAGACAAACAAAGTCGATCTTTTGACCAATTGTGTGCTAAACAGCTGTGGTATTTTTCATTCTGTCCTGGGCTATTCATCTATCCTATGTCCTCGTG